CAAGTACGCTGTGAAAATTTAGCGCACCACCAAAGAATCAACTAAGATGAAAACAGTCTTTTGTTCTTGTTTATACTCTATCTTTCACTCCCACCACCACCAGGTTTTCTCCTATTAGCGGCTGTAGCATGGATCTAGAGCTGGAGCTCAGCTGCTCCATGGCTCAACCTGTGTGCTATTTATATCTTCATCAGAAAAGTCGCTATGCAATAAAGTATGCCACTGCTCAGCTCAGCCCCTCAGAGACAAGCTTGGCACTCAAGTGTGTGTCTAAGATATAACAGATAGAAAAAAATACGGGATGAGAAAGCGAGCAAGTGACATAATCACTGTAACTTCTATCTCAAACATAACATTCCTCAATAGGAAATATACATTTTCATAGTGCAAGTGTGTATTAGGTATGTGTATGCTCAACCTGTCTGCTATTTATATCTTCATCAGAAAAGTCGCTATGCAATAAAGTATGCCACTGCTCAGCTCAGCCCCTCAGAGACAAGCTTGGCACTCAAGTGTGTGTCTAAGACATAACAGATAGAAAAAAATACGGGATGAGAAAGCGAGCAAGTGACATAATCACTGTAACTTCTGTCTCAAACATAACATTCCTCAATAGGAAATATACATTTTCATAGTGCAAGTGTGTATTAGGTATGTGTATATGGGTGGGAGAACAAAGACACAAATCAGATCTTTTCGTAAAATTATTCGTAGAAAGGCCTTCTATAGGTGGCATTGGACAGGAAGTGTATGACTCAGGTGTTGATTTAAAGCAGTTTAGCTCAATGAGTGCAATCCCTTTGCACGTTTCAGGAAAGCTAAGCAGCCTACTGCAGGAACGTGAGCTATAGTGAATGAAAGAGAAGAAAGGCATCAGGAGCACATTGTGCTATTCCACTAATGTGTTTAGTACTGTCATCAGTTCCAAGCTTATCTGACTAAGTCTGAAATCAAAGGGCAGTTCTTGAATTAATTTTCGAAATCATCATCAGTTTCTTTGGTGTTACGGGCTATCTAAATAAATGCAATGTCTGAGGAACAGAAATTTGTCAGTGGGAAAAAAAACAGAAGCTGCCTTCTCAGCATCTTCTGTCAGAAAGCTGCCTTTAGATATGACAAAAGGGTTTGCGCCACACACCCAGGTAATTACAACCGCTCCCCCAAGCACAGACAGGCGGCAATCCATTCTTAGCAAACTAATGAGGTGCAAGCGTGCATGTGTGAGCAAAAGAAAAGGGAAAGATAGAAGGGGGCAAGTGGAACAAATCACATTGTCAGTCTGTCTTTTGTCATCTTTTGGCGGGCACTCATCAGGATTCCCCCTCGCTCTCCAGGACGAAAGAAGAAAAGAGTAAGGGAGCACACAGATGCTAACCTAAAGCAACAAACGGCAGCAGGAGGAGATGACCTAATGCAAAACTGCTAGGGCTGAGAACACTGATACGCACAATTAAAGAAGAGAAGCGTGGAAAATGATGACAAAAACCATGACAGCTAAAACAACCAAGTGACAAGGCTCTTGTGTGAGGTGGACCATTACGGGTGGGCGGCACTTGTCAGGCAGGTTGTTGTGAGCAGCTGGACTGTACTCAAGTAAAGTACTCAGACAAGCAGCAGCAATTTGGCACTTGATGAATCTGAAAGAAAACTCAATTTCATCCCTCCTTATAATGGTTGTGTCTAACTCGGCACACAAAATTCAGGCTGATGGCTGGGCATAATTACAGCTTGATTGCCTAGGGAATGTTTGTGCACTTCCATATGTTTTTCTTCTCTGTTTTTCCCCATGATTAGCCATATCAGAGGACACTGAGAAAGCCGAGATGCACATGGATGCATTTTCTCCAGGATCCTGGGGCCTAAAAAGAGTCTTGCTGCTCAGTCCTCAGGTGGCGTCTTTGGTATTAAAGTCTGGCTGAGTGAAAATGTTCAAATTAACCGCTTGACACTTGGCCTCCTGCCACCGATAGATACCCCATGTTCTCCTGCACTGACATGCCCTTCCAAGACCTCTTTAACCACAGGGTCAAAGGTTGACCTAAAGAAAAGAATGCTGAAGGAGAAGGTGAACGTTGCTGATAGAAGGAAACAGAAGGGTGGACGTTAGTGAATGGGGCAGTAAAGGCAGATTCACACATTCAGGGGGAATAAAAGGCATCTCATCTGCTGGACAGCATGGGTGGGGTGAATGGGGGAAGGGTCCTGCCAGATTCAATAGCTTCCTCCCACATGTACGCCACCACTAGGCACAATGCTGACCGGGGAGAGAGTTCAGCCCTGTCGATTAAGATCAGTGTGTATGTACTATTTCAGGCAGCTGTAGGGCAGGGAATGGCCCATATAGAGGCCCCGGAGAGTGACGGTCATACAGAGGTAAACCCCTGGAAGTGAAAGCAAAACAAAGCAGCATCAAAACCCGAGACTTGCTTGCAATAAAATCTACAAAATGAAGTCATGATCCCAATATGGCCTTCACAGCAATGGTGTTAAAAAGGGGTACTGTTTACAGTGTAAAATTGAAAGATAAAAGGCAATAAACTGGGCCAGACACTTCCCTAGAGTCTTCAAATACAGCCTCACAGCCCTGAAAACAGGGACATGTAAAAACAAACTGCACTGTCAAATCCTTCAGGACTGAAATGAATTATAGATGATTGACAGCAGGTTTCCATCCACTCTTGGAGTCTAAAATTAAATAGTTTATTGCTGCTGTGCCTTTCAGAAATACCCCCTCTGAATGCGAAATGAGTATCCTTCTGGCAACCCAACTGGTTATTGATATGTAAACATGTTGGCCATATTTGGTGTTGATGTATTGATTTGTCTGAGGAACAAAGTAATTTTGTATCCTAGTTTCAATAAAACTGAGGAGGTAGTTTTGAGAACTGAAAGCTACAGTGTGTTGTCATGGTACATATCTCAAAAGATTAAAAATTGATTCTATCTGATTAAATATGAAAGTATGTTTTGCATAGTGATAAAAGTGTCAAAAGTGCTGCCACAGAACAAATCCAGGCTTCTGACACCCTTCTCCATGTAGGGCCACCCAAGGGGAACTATAGGGAATATTTTTCCAACAGTAAACTCTCTGCTGTCTGGTGAACAGCAGCACGTGTACTGATGCACACTGCCAGGGCCATTTGTCATAGCCACAAAAGTTATTGTGTTCTCATCAAAACATGGATTTGGTCCCATATGAGCCCTGCAGACAGGTTAACGCTGTCGCACAAGTCTCTTCCCGCTTTGACCCCTTGTCCCTACATATCAAAACACTAAAAAAAATGAGTGAATTATAGGAAAAAAATGGAGGCAAAGACACTTGTTCAGTTTTAGGACTTACTATGTGTGTATTTCCACAAAAGTTATTGTGTTCTCATCAAAACATGGATTTGGTCCCATATGAGCCCTGCAGACAGGTTAACGCTGTCGCACAAGTCTCTTCCCGCTTTGACCCCTTGTCCCTACATATCAAAACACTAAAAAAAATGAGTGAATTATAGGAAAAAATGGAGGCAAAGACACTTGTTCAGTTTTAGGACTTACTATGTGTGTATTTATGGGAAATGCAAAAGCGAGGCTCTGGTGTATGTAGGTTAACTTGCTTCAGCCAATCTGCTTGTCCTCCCTCACCCCATGTTTAATCTCCTGCACTCAGTCACAGTAGTGGGGGCAGGATACTGCACCACACTTCCATGATATTCCCAGTACCACTACAACACTACAAGAAGAAGACAAGAAGAACAACATAAAAACATACTAGAATAAAAGTAACATTCACTTTGCCAGACAGAACAGCATTAAAATTTACCACCTCTCCTTGAACTCTCACATTATTAGAGTTGTCAAATAAACATCAGATGTTTTATAGTGTGCTCTTAAAAGAATCTAAACCCACTTCTTGGATCCATGGATCTATTAAACACCTTGTTTTCCAGATTTGCACCCCACAGATTGATCAGGCTCATTCTGAGTTAGACCAGAGCGTTCAGAATTCACCATTGACCCTGCAGGATCTAAATTCTGTCAAGCCATGAAGCTGTGCATTGATCAACTCCAGCAGGACACCAGTGGCCCCGCTGCACCCTCTTCATTGATCCACAGATTCTCCATCCATTCCCGCCTGAGATCCTGGCCAAATGACCCATCGATCTGTGGCCAGTCCAGGGGAACTATTTCTGCATCCCATCCTACCCCTCCCCATCCCAACAAGTACCTGAAACAGATTCACCCCCTTCAGCCTATTCCAACCCCCCCACTTCCACTGCCGGTGATGTCCCATACACGACAAATCTGCATCCCGATACTACCACAAAACCAAATAACTCACTAACAACACTGAGAAAAAGACTCTTGCTTTACATTCCACCAAACACCTATCTTAACCAGAGCATGACTCTGCAGGTAATTCAGACATCTCCAATATTCACCTACAAAACCTTGTAGGCACAAGGTATTCTCAAGGCATCACACTAGTTGTTTTGACCATGCTGTTTTTGGAAAGCTCACTACTTATTCACGGTCGTTGCATGAATATTCATGTGCTTAATTATTGCACAATCAACCTAAATCAAGTTCATGCTTCCTTTAGAGAATCAACCATGTCTCTTATTTTGCAGGATGTACTATGGGGTTACACATCTCATAAAAGTTTGGTGGGTTACCAGTGAATCGAAGACCACCCCACACATTCTGAAAATATCAAGCACTCTTTAGCAACAGCATATCCTTGAATATTCTCACTGCTTTGACAAGCGCTAAGTGCCGGGACTTATTTATAAAATGTTTTTACCCCAAATGCACAATGAATTATACCATAGCCTATTAAAAGTAACCTCCAATGAATGTACATTCACTGGGACAATCTAATTTTGACTCTGGCATGAAGTCAGCATCAATTTCTCATCATAAGCCTGTCTCTGAGCACAACAGAACACACTCGAAAAACCAACCAACATTTAAGATTTTCAGTATAGACTTGTGCTTAGATAAAACAGCCATACCTGTTTGCCAGATGTAGGTGGATTTTGTGTTGGTGACTGTTTGTGTCTGGACATCCCATAGCCCAAAAAAGAGCAGTGCTACTCTGAAGAGGGTGGCAAGAGCCCCTGCTGAAGTGCCCCCTCTTCCTGCTGCCCTGCTGGCCAGCCCCATGGCTTCAGCCCGGCCAGATAGATCCACACGGATCATGTCTGGCCAAACAGACCTGCACGATACACACACACTCAGCAGGAGATCTATGCACGAGAAGATGCGGCACAGGGGAAAGTGTGCCTGCTATTGTCCCTCTCACTCTACTGTACGCGGTTCCTCCAGGAAAGGGTAATCCACTTGTCTCTATCTTTCTCCACTTACTCCTCTATTTTCCCTCCTTTTATTTCTTCTTCACTGTGTTCTCTGGGTCAGTGGAGAAGAATGAGGTCTGAGTGAAGCAGAAAAAATAAAAAAGCTAGAGGAACAATAGATCCCTCAGCTCAGCTCGCTGCTTGTGCGGCTACTGCGTCCTGGCTCAGCCTGGCTGATACAGCACCTCCCATTTCCCCCTCCTCTCTCGTTTTCTCTCGCTCGCGCTTACTCATACAGTCTCGCTCTCCTTTACTAATCCAGCATCCACCTGCAATCACTCTCTGTTATCACTTTGCCCTGCTATCAAGGGTTACACTATTCTTCAAACAGTAGGGAACTGGGGTAGGTGCTGGGGGCCGAGGTAAGAAGCACGTGCATCATTGTGGTGTGTGTGTTGATTTGGGATTGACTGCTAGATGCAGAGACACCAGAGTCACTTGCACCAGCTGGGACTAAAAGCTATAAAGAGATGCAAAAGAAAGATATCGTAGTGAGTGTGAAAGAGAAGCAAGAGAAAGGGAAAAGGTGAAGGGAGGGGGTCCGAATCTGGGGATAGTGAGAGAGAGAGAGGATGGCAAAAAACAACCGAATGAGAGTAGTAAAACCCCTCATGAATCTTTAATGTGAGCTCACTCTGACCTTGATGATATTCAAACCATAGAAGGGGTGCTGTGTTATGAGAGTTATGAGATACTGTCTGCATACATAGTCATTACAGAAACAGACTGGTGAATCACACCTTTCCATAAATGTTAGGAGTCTAGGTTGTCAATCTATTATGACCAAATTCCAGGAACTGTTGTATAAAGAGAATTATAGAGATATTTAAAAAGATGAACCCTTCATATGAATATGCCTACTTTCTTGTAATATGTGACAAGCACTATATCAAATGAGTATTATGTCAGAAACTAATGAAACAATAGGCAAAAATACCTGGATGCATACAACTATGATATTAAAATGTATTCAAATCTTAAGAAGCTCTTCTTCAAATACAGTAACTGGAGGTACAATAATGAGTGTGTTTACCTGAACAACAAAATGCTGAAATATATTGAAAAAATAATAATCTCAAAATAGAAACCAGACAATGCAACAAAATCGTGTTGGCATACATGACATATGGAATTCATCAGACTTTTCTTATGTCAAAAAATTAGCCAACATGAATAACACCACACCGAATAAGCTGCTAACATGCACCAAAAATATAAATAGGCCAGTTGGTAATGTTTACATGAGCATACACATTTTCATCTTAGTAAACATGCTTGCTAAATAAATTAAACACACTAAAACTTTACATGCTAAATATTAGCTAAAGCTTAAAATCATTTTCTACAATGCAAGAAGAAAACAAAATGTATTCAGCTAGACCTTTCTTTCTTACTCAACAACAGTTCCTAATGTGCGATATTCAATCATCCTTTATATTCAGGCCTGGATAATGTCCATTGGAGTAATTTCACAGTGATTAGGGTAATGAAGGACAATGCTCACCCCCTGCTAACCACCAACACAGAGAGCAAACCATGGAACAAATTATCCAAGCTGTAGCATTAACAGACAGCAAGCACTCTGACCATCCCCTACCCAATACACACACCCATAACCTGGCATGGGGCCAGAATGAAAGCCTATGTCAACTTCATATACAATCATAAAACATCAAATGAGATGTAACACACATATACATATATATATATATATATATATATATATATATATATATATATATATATATATATATATATATATATATATATTATTATTTATTAAACTATTAGTATTATTATTAATAACAATAGGTCTCAGTCTCTGGATCACACTGTGCCGTATATGCACTGATCCTAAATGAAAACCCTACTACTCAACATACAAATCTTGGGAAAAAATGACAAAGCTAGGTTCTGAGGGTCAGGTGGGCTGCAGGGGCTGGTGGCTAAGCTTAAGGTGGCCAGAAGCCAGGGTTGATGTATCTGGACCTGATCCAGAGACTGTAAATACTCAGTTAATTTGTAGGGACAACATGCCACCACTGTGGGGGATTTGTCATTTAGCAGGCCTATTTCATTCAAAGCATTTTACAACAGGGTTGAATGCCATGGTTAAGTGCACAATGGCAATAAATAATACAATGCTTTTAGTAACCTTACAGTGTTGTAGGCCACAAGGCTAGCGCTATCTTCAAGTAAAGTTAATGATCCTATCCATCTTCTTCCTCAGTTTATGTGAGATACATTGAAGAAGCCAAGAGAGAAAGACAACTCTGATCAGTGACAATCAGCTGGGTGGGATTACAGATACAGCTGGCCTCCTTAAAGAGTCAAAACAGACAGCACTTAACTCAGTGATAAAGCCATGCTGTCTCAACCATGGTCACAAACACACATGCAAACATGCCACACACACACGTCTAAAGCACAGCATGGGAGACACCGATATCCACTGCTGCTGTACCTTAATACTAGAGCTCAGCTACAGAGAAGAGGAGGGGGGTAAACGGGGGTGGGGAGAAACAGATTGAGAGGAACAAAGCAAAGCTTTTGAGGGCAAAAGAGTATAGCAGAAACAGGGATAGAAAAGAAACAGACCAGGGAACGAGACAGATGGGCAGTGGGAAAAAAAACAGAGGGAAATTGAGAATGAAAAAGTGTGTAGGAAAGCCTGTTTTTTCTTTGCTTTTGTAGAGAAGGAGCTTCATAATGAGGAGAGATGTGAGCGTTGTGTGGGGTGTGATGAATGTCTGTACAGGCATACGGTCTGCCACAGCACTTCCCTCTGATCGTACCTGATTATTGTGTGTGTAGGAACACGTTCGAGTGAGAGCCCTGTAGAAGATAATTCAACACCAGCAGGCCTGCACAATTAAGCAAACAAAAACAAAACACGTTATCATGAAACAGGTGCTTATGCAGAACATGCTTACGGCGTGAACAATGTGTGAGAAATGCATGCTACAATTAGTCTACTTCAGGAAAATTGCACTCTACGTGGAAACACTGAACATGGAATGATTAACAGAGAATTACAACATAAAATGGATGATGCTGACTAGGGATGCACTGATATGGAGATTTGCACAGACAAAGACAATAACACTTATATTCTCGAGCCAATAACCAATATACTGACATACAGTGTTGGGGAAAGTTACTTTTAAAAGTAATGCATTACAATATTGCAGTACTCCATAAAAAAGTAACTAATTACATTACGTAGTTACTTTTTATGGAAAGTAATGCGTTACGTTACTTTTGCGTTACGTTTTAAATCTGGACAGGGCTTGCTTGCTTGTTTTTAAAATAAAAAAGTTATATTTTTGGCACATATAAAAACCTTTTCACACAAAAATTGAAATGAATAAGCCTCAGGCTGAAGGAAAAGTAAATTTACATCCGTACAGTAGAATGCAGAAGAAGAAATTTCAACACACTTCAGTAATAAAAAAAAGACACACAAATGTTTGTCTAGAGTAATTTTTGCTTATTAGTACGGTTGAACTGGATCATCGAAGGACAGAAGCAAAGACATTGGTTAATAGAATGGGATTAAATACATAATGCATATTTGTGTTGTTTAACATTTAATTATTGTAGGTTTGTGTCATATTCTGAGTTGCATTATTTTTATTCATTTTGAGGAATACTGAATCTGTGTTTTTTTTTGTGAGTGAGATGAATTCATGCATATTCTTATTGATTTTAGAACTACAGTAACATCTTCTGATTTCTCTCAACATGGGAACAGGAGAGCTGTCAATCAGTAAATTGGGAAAAAAAAGAAACTTGCGTTACTTATTTGAAAAAAGTAACTCAGATATTCTCTTGTAAATTAAAAAGTAATGCATTACTTTACTAGTTACTTGAAAAAAGTAATCTGATTACGTAACTCGCGTTACTTGTAATGCGTTTTCCCCAACACTGCTGACATATATTAGATATTAATCTACATTTTGACTGACTGAAATTTTTAGATCTCTCCACTTATTTATTTAGTCATTCATTCACTTATTGTTTTTCAAAAGCTCAGATCACACTGGAATTTTTCATTAAAAAATCCACAATATATACTGTATATATATATTTTTTAATTTTGCTTTATTTTCATTTTAAAAGATTTATTTATTTACTTTTTTTAGGCTAACTAGAACTAATATGGGGTCATATTATAAATTTGTCTATAATGTATCAGCCTAAATATATTGGCTTTTTTTTTACTTAAAGGGGTCATATGATGCGATTTCAATTTTTCCTTTCTCTTTGGAGTGTTACAAAATCTGTAAAGTTGCAAAGACTAAAGTCTCAAATCCAAAGATATATAAAACGGCTCGTTCTAACACGCCCCCACATATCTACATCGCTATGTGGGAAGATTTGCATAATGCCGCCCAAATGTTCACGCAAAGAAGGCGTAACTTTTATTCTCATGTCTGGAGCTGATCCGTGCTGGTTGCTGAGGAAATACTAAAACTTTGCGCTGTCGATCGCAGGATTGGCTTTCACCGTGGACGAAGCGGCGTCCAGCCCGGAGTCGTCACATGTCCTTCCGGACGCTCCTTCATCGAAATCGCCGGTCACTGATCGGTAACACTGAAAAGTACTTTATAACAGCAGTAATACCAGTATGTTCCAATAAAGTATAATTTATTTCTAGTTCCAACTCATTTGCAAACTGCAGATAAATGCAACGTATTCATAAATCTTGAGACCCCGCCCAGAGGTGGTGACAGCATGCAGACAGTTTATATCTTTGCAACTTAGCCTCACTTACATACTTTTTAATTTGTGCTTTTCTTGGGTGAAATACGGTACTGATAACATTTGTAGATTTCTATCATTTAGAAAGTGAACTCAGATTTAACCATAACATAGCTGGCTCATAATATAATTGGGTTAGGGCCCCCCCTTGCTCTATGGGGGCTGTGGAGGGGTCCTGTACGCCAGCGTCTTTATTAATGTGTCAAGTTGCTACAGTTAAGCACATGAACCATATACTTGGCTGAAGAATTTGTTTATTCCAATTAATATTAATAAACATATTCCAATCAATATTAATAAACAACGATTTATTGAAACATTAGTGACTATTGCTGTTGCTAGAATTTTCTAAAAGCATGTTATTTCAGCATGAAAAAATGGCACTTTGTTCTGT